AAAAAAAAAAAAAAAAAAATACAACCCACCAAGAAAAAGCATGAAAACTGAGATCTACTGGCTATGTTACTTCTTTTCCTTGAAAAGAAACTGAAAAACCACACTGAATTTTTATGAACAAAAGAGTCATTAGAAATAGGATAGACAAAGATGAAAAACAAGAATCAAAGTAAATCAAGTTTTAGTAAGATGGAAGATTTGTCTTACTAGATATAGAAAAATTTACAGTAAGGCAAAAATAATTAAGAGTGGCATTGGTGTAGAAAGATAAAAAAGAGATCCACATGAATAAGACAAATTTACAGAAGAGTTACCTGGTATATAATAGAGAGGGATTATTCTAATGAAGAGGAAAAATGACTTAATATCTATTGCTGAGACAAGAGACTATGGAAAAGATGTCTAACTCCTACTATATACCGTATGTGAAAGTTAGCCATGTGGATTCAAGACCTAAATATGAAAAGCAGAGATTTTTAAATAAAATGGAATTTGCTAGTGCTAAGAAAGTTTTCTTACAGATAAAGTTTGATTAAACTAAAACCCCAAAAGTTCTATACGATATTATAAACTAAATGGAAAAACAGCCACATACTGGGAAAAGTTAACTGTCCGCTAAGAATCATTTTTTCTAGGGCGGCTCCTGTGGCTCAAAGAAATAGGGTGCTGACCCCACATGCTGGATGTGGCAGGTTCAAACCCAGCCCTGGCCAAAACAAAAAAGAAAAGAAAAACTGCAAAAAGAATCATTTCTTCTAGACCACATAAGGAATTACAAATCAGTAAGACACACAAATGATTCAACGGATAGCAGTCAAAGAGTACTAACAGGCAGTTCTCAAAGGAAGAAATCAAAGTCAACAGGAACAAGGAAAGAAATTCAGTATCACTATTCTGGGAAATAAAATGACAGTAAGAGAGAATTTAATACAATCAGACTGACAGATTAGGTCTAATAAAAATTACTGCCAATGTGGAGGAGCCAGAACCTCGTATGCTGCTGGTGGGAATATTAAATGGCATAATCACACTGGAAAGCAATTTAGCAACATTCACTGATGGTTAAGATGCTCGTGGCCTATAACTAATTCTACTTTCTCAACCTAAGAAACTTCTTTGTGTAAGAGGCACAGGATTGACAAATGCCTGCAATCCAGAGGAAGCAAATGGAAAAATTCCAACCACAAGCCAGTTATATTTTATGCCAGATGTGAAAAATTTCTTCCTCACCCTACAGTATCATCCATCACAAAGTGATCTTTTTATAAATGATCCTCTTCTGGAAGTGGAAGTGTGTAGAGACTTAGGCTTTAAATCAACTTGTGATCTACACATTAATGACATCTGTAATTCTTGGTATTGGTAAGCATTAACCCACATTAGTATCTGTTGCTGACTACAATGAACTAGAACCATTTTTCTCTTCCATTCTAATTACCTGAAAGCTTAAGAGGAGAAAAACAAAACAGAGGAAATATAAGATGAAAAATGGTTGCATTTAATTGAGGAATTTTTTGTTAAAGTGACAACAGACTGTATGTGAAGAATGTTCATAGTGACTGTGAAAAATATTCTGTGTAAGACAAACCTTTACCCTGGTATTTTAGAACAATGTGAACATGTCAAAAAGTTACAATTCTGTGCTTATGAGAATGTAGTTTTCTGTGATTTACTACTTTAACAAAAACTAGGGGTGGGGGAAATGACTGTGAGACAACATACCTGGATCAGCTGCAGTAAAAGGAACACCATCAGATGTATAAAATGTTGGTTCATTCTAGGATGAATCAAAGTGATAAAAATACGTAATCATTTTAGAATTGATTTTTTAAAGTACTTTAATTAATGAAGCATTGCTGATGTCACTCATCTGCACCTGATAATGCAAGAAAAAACGAAAAAAAAAAAACAAAAAAAAAACCAAACCAAAAAAACCTAACTTCTTAGCAGCCATTTTCACTTCACTGGTAAAGTCTCTAAGGTTTTCAGATTTCCATTCTTGTTCTAACAGTGCTGTCTACTGTCTGTCCCATTCATGGTGAACTGTTCTGTTGTGCATTGTGATTTAGTGTAAACTCACTTTTAGCTATGATTTCTCACTACCTCACCATTTCTTGAAGAATTTCCAAGACTAGGGCTGGAGGAATGTTTCTCCATGTTGCTTTACGTTTGGTCATGTCAGAAGCTTTAGGGCATCACTGGCCTGGTAACCATTTTTTTTTTTTTAATTTTATTTTACTATAAACATACAAAGTCATTCTGAGATGCAGGTCCTTGGTTATGAATTCTCTGGAAAAACTGCTTCCTGGCATACCTGCGCTCACTCCAGTCCAATCCTTACCAATCTCTCTTTGGATGGATCTTTCTCCAGTCCACCATGGAGAAAGAGAATTCTAGTTCTCTTCTCTTAATTTACCTAGTCTGCTGGTTGTCATGCCAACCTAAGCCAGTGAAGAGAGCTATTAGGCATTGAACTCTGAGAGCAGCTTTGAATAACTCATCTAACTTCCAAAATTGAATTCAAGCAATAAGCAAAACTGAAAATATAAATACTGGCATACCATAAAGTAGTTAGGATCATTTTCAGGTGTTGCTTCTCTGTATGTTGAAGTTGCATGAACTCTACCCCAGTTACTAGACCGGAGTTCTACAAGTTTCAGGAGCATCTGTTTTACATCTCTGCAGACAAAGTTGAAAGTTGAGTTAAACTGTACCCACCATTAAGTGGGTACATCAAGCTCTTAAATATCTCAAACTCTTAAGACTTGATGGCCTGAAAATTTAACATGTACATCTTAGCAATCAAAGCTAGATTTTCTGACTTTCCTAAATGACATAAATTCACTGAAAAAAAAAAATAGTCTTGAAGAAAGATTAGTAGTAGCAGTTCAAAGATGAGGTAAGCCAGATGAATTTATCAAGTTAAATAGTTTCAATTATTCTCTACCATCTAATATTAAGAGATCTCTAGACTCTCTCTGTTTTTCTTATTTGTTTCACGTAACTGACTATATGGTCCTTAAAGGCAGTGGCTACTTTTCAAACACTTTTGTGTGTTCTACTATACCTTCAGTAGTATTTTACCCAAGTATTTGTTGAACAAGTTAGTCTGAATCATTTTATTTTTCACTGGACTCATTTTAACGCAGGAACATCTTAACTTTCCCAACTTATACATGTAACTGAACAAAATGGCTAGTAAACAGAAACCAGAGGTAAGAAAATATTTCTATAGATCTGCAAGATTTCAATTACCCTGATGAATTATAGCAGATTATAAAAAGAACCTCCAAAGAAAATGCAAGAAATTGAGATCTATTGGCTGTCTACTCTATTTCTTACCTGCTACAGTTTGCATCTAGGACAACATTTTCAATTCTCTGAATAATTTCCTCCATGTCAGTCTTTCCTTTTTCCTTCCATGCATCTTCCAAAACTGACCCTGTCAACTAAAAAAGAAGGTGTTACAAAATAACAGACTGATAGAATGCAGAAATTTTAAGATTAGTAGTTCAAAGATGAGGTGAACGAGATAAATTTAGCAAGTTAGCTTCAATTGTTCTCTACCATTTCATATTAAGAGATCTCTATACCCTCTGTTCTTTGACTGTAAGAAATAAACTATAGCAGAGCTTTAATCACAGGTTATATTTCCTGTATTACTAAGACAGGCTAGTAGGTTTGAATGGTTACTTTTTTTTTTTTTTTGAGACAAAGTCTCACTATGTCGCCCTTGGTAGAGTGCAGTGACGTCACAGCTCACAGTAACCTCAAACTCTTGGGTTTAAGCAATTCTCTTGCCTCAGCCTCCCAAGTAGCTGGGACTACAGGTGTCCACCACAACACCCGGCTGTTTTTTGTTGCAGTTGTCATTGTTGGTTAGCTGGCCTGGGCTGGTTTGAACCTTCCAACTTTGGTGTATGTGGCTGGCGCTGTAACCACTGTGCTATGGGCGCAGAGCCTGAATATGTTACTTTTTGAAATATGCAACAAGCAGCACATATAGAAACTATGAATTAAAATACATACACAGACTCCATCAAGAAAAATAATGAGTCAAATATTTAAATAGGCAATTCACAGAACTAATGACAATGGCTAAAAAAACATGAAGAAATGCTTAAATTCATTGGTGATCAGAAAAATGCAAAGTAAAATGAGGTTTTTGTTTTTGTTCATCTATAAGGGAACAAAAACAAAGACTGATTATATCTAACACTAAAAGGATAGAAGCAAACAGATGTATTCAGTCGCTACTGATTTAAATACATACTGGTTCAGCACTGGGAAGGAAAATTTGCACAACCTAGCCATATAAAGTACACATGCTCACTGACCCACCAAATCTATGTTTAAGAATGTAACCTACAGAAATACTTGCACATATAAAGACATGAGAAAAGCTTATGAACAGTGCTGCTGGGGCAAAACTGAAAATAATCCCAATGTTCCTTGATAAACACTTATACTTGGAGGTTACTCAATAATGAGGTCAACAGCTGTACTTCTGTGAAAAAAGTCCAAGATCTTCCACTAGGTAGCAGGAAAAAAGTCACAAAAAAGGATAAGATCTTAAGAGAACATATATAGACATAAAGGAAAAAGAAGGAATTTACAGATGGGGATGGGGTGAAGGATTCCCATGTTTTGCTACTTATACTACAAACATTAAGCTTATATTGCCTTTTCAATATACTGAACAGCAAATGAAATGTCAATATTTAACTTAATATTGAATTCATTTGTGTACTGCATGTTTTCCTTCCTCTAAGTTATAAATTAAATGGGTAAATGGTTAAAAATTAAAAGTAAAACCTACCTTTAGTAATTTTACTGCACAAATTAAGTTGTCATCCATAGGATTAGAAAAGAGGGCATTCAGCAATTCTCGGAGACCAACCTGAAGAATATCTGCTCTTGTAACCTGTCCATTTGTTCCCTTGATCTTCCAGGATAAAGGAAAATTAAAAGCCAGGATGCCAAAACATGATACAGATATATAAATGGTCTAACAAGGTGTTGGCAAAGTGTTTTAGTTAAATACAAAAATCATAGGAATACACTTCAGTATCTTTATAAAATTAGTTAGAATTCCTTTAATATGTAAATAAAACCTCTAATAAAACTGGGGAAACTGTGAGTAAAATTTAACTTCCATTTATCACACCCATGGTCAGGATAATTTAAGCCTACTTTGACTACCTATTAGAGCATTCTCTAGTTTGTTAGGCAACTACCTTCTTCAAACACAGCATTTTATTCTGCTTTTTATAATAAATTAATATATTCTAGTTTGCATTAGAGTGGCATACATATCTTACTTAACCTGGTAGAGAAATTTGGGGTACAGAAATGATGACTTTACACTCCCCACAAATTTAGCATCATACAGAAAATGCTCAAAAGTATTCCTATAATGACTCCTCATTTAAGGTGCATTCTAGACAGTTCTGATTTTGGGCTTATGTAACAATTAGACTAAAGAAGCACAAGGTATGAGATTTCATCTGTGATAAAAAGGAACAGATCCCGGAGGACACAGACCTTTTAGATACACTGGCTGAGATGCACATTTGGCGATGGATTGCATTCCCCTAGGTAGAGTGCTGTGACATCACAGCTCACAGCAACCTCCAACTCCTGGGCTCAAGCGAGTCTCCTGCCTCTACCTCCCAAGTCGCTGGGACCACAGGTGCCCACCACAACGCCTGGCTATTTTTTGGTTGCAGCCATCATTGTTGTTTGGTGGGCCAGGGCTGGATTCGAACCCACCACCTTAGGTGTATGTGGCTGGTGCCTTAGCCACTTTAGCCACAGGTGCCGAGCCGGATTTGCATGTCTTAATGATGTTTCTGATGTTATGATGTTTATGATATTAACTTCAAGTCCAGGTTTAAGAGACATAAATGTACATGAGATTTACTAATAAAAAACTTCAAGCAAATCCATTATATAGCATTTTCAGCACTAATACTACCTAGTAATAAACATATACTTAACCATTAAGTGTACCAGCTAAATTTACAAACGTGTTTAGCTGTAGACTCTGTACAAATTAATTTTATGTGGAAGATTAATATATGAAATAAGACAAAAGAACTATTCTTGGAGGTCAGGATTGGGAAGATGTTGTTCAAAGGATGCAAAATTTCCATTAAACAGGACGATAAGTTCAAGAGATCTACTGTACATCATGATAACTACTGTATACTTAAAAATCCAGATTAGGTTAGGTGTTCTTCCCACACAGTAAGTATGTGAGGTAATGCAGATTAAACAGCTTGAGTAGGGGCCCAGTATTGTGGCTCACACCTATATCCTCACTCAGGGAGACTGAGATGAGAGGACTGCTTGAGCTCAGGAGTTGGAGACCAGCCTGAACAACATAGCAAGACATCCTCCCCACACACCCGCCGCCTACTAAAAAAAAAAAAATTAGCCCAGCTACTTGAAAGGCTAATTCAAGAACCCAAGAATTTGAGGTTGATGTGAGGCTGGCTGATGCTATGGCACGCTAGTCTGGGCAACAGAGTTAAGACTCTGCCTCAAAAACCAAAGCAAAACCAAAAAATTCAATTTGGCTTAACCATTTCATTGTATACATATAACAAATTATGGTGAACATCATAGATAAAACTTTGTCAATTAAAAAGACTAAGTAGGCTCAGTGCTTGTAGCACGGTGGTTATGGTGCCAGCCACATAAACCACATAAACCAATGCTGGCGGGTTCAAACCCAGCCCAGGCCTGCTAAACAACGACAACTGCAATAAAAAATAGACATGCACTGTGGCGGGTGCCTGTAGTCCCAGCTATTTGGGAGGCGGAGGCAGGAGAATCACTTAGGCCCAAAAGTTTGAGGTTGCTGTGAGCTATGACGCCATCGCAATCTACCGAGGGCAACAGAGTGAGACTCTGTCCCAAAAAAAAGAAAAAAGAAAAAGTAAATGAATAAACAAATAGTAGTAAAGGCTGGGTGTAGTGGCTCATGCCTATGATCTCAGCACTTGGAAAGCTGAGATGGGTGGATTGCCTGAGCTCACAGGTTTGAGACCAGACTGAACCAGAACAAGACTTCGTCTCCACCAGGTGTTGTGGCAGATGCCTGTGGTCCATTGGGAGGCTGAGGCAAGAGAATCGCTTGAGCTCAGGAGTTTGAGGTTGCTGTGAGCTATGACACCACAGCACTCTGAGGGTGACAAAGTGAGGTAGTCTCTCAAAAAAAAGTAAAAAATACTTAAAAAGAACTATTCTGGGTCAATTAGGGCAAAAAGCCAGAAACTCTGGCCTTTCTTCTCTTCACTGAAAGCTCTGTGTTCTGCAGTATAAGTTGCTGTGAACCATGAACTGAAAGTCAACATACTAAATGTATTAAAATTTATGATGCAAAGACTCAAAAGGTATCACTGATATTTCAAAAGCTTAAACATCCTCAAAGACTTAACAAAAAGCTCAGTAATTCCCAACATCCTGCCTATGAGCTGAAATGTTACAGACATCCATTAGAACACAGATATTACCATGAGTAGATACTAAAGCATGTTCTTTCTTTCCCACTCCCTCTTTCATTTCCCAGTAACATGTTCTGAGTAAAACTGCCAGCCAACAATGTGTTAAATGCTGTAAAAGTACAATGCGAACACAAATTCCTCACTGACATCAACTTATGTTCTCAGACCTTGTTAGCATTTAAAAGAAAAATTTCTCACCTCCAGGTTAAGATAAAGTTCTCCCAGAAAGAGTACAAATGCATGAAATCGTTTTCGGGTAACTTCATCCCCTTTTGCAGCTTGATCTTTAACTTCATATTCAGTCCGACATCTAATAAAGATATTTCTTTTGTAATTCTCATTTTTTAAAAAATAATCAAACAAGAAGACCATTTGTCAGTTTAGTTGTCCACAGCACTTAAAGGCAAGGACAATGTCCCAACAACCTAACTTTCTGTGACTTACAAAATGTTTTTATTGTAGAGGCTAAAATATATATCATCTTTTCACACTGAGAGCTCCAGTTTCAAGAATCTGTTGTTTATTTTTGACTACTCTTATCAAATTGGTAATGTTTAAGCAACAGTGTCATGAGGCTCATGGCATACTGGGACCAAAAAAGGGGAAAAATAGCCTCACCGTATTTGTCTTACATGCTTTTTAATAAGCACTGATTTTATCTAAATCATCCTTGTGAAAATGTCTTTGAATATTAGAACTTTAAAACAGATCTTTAAATATATATAGATAGCCTCCCACTAAGCTGGAAAGAAAAAAAAATTCTTAAGCCCACTACCACTGTTAACTTCCAGTATACATATCAGGGAAGTTTTAAAGTGAGAAAATAATTTCCTAATTAAACCCACAACATAGAAAGCAACGGATTTGGTCACCATCTCCAATGTAGACCGAGGGCTTCAAACAATTGACTTTTCCTTGCTTTATTTTCCCCTGACCTGGTCCATTTGCCTCAGAGATAACAAAAATGAATCTTCTTGAAGCTTACTGTCTTAGTACTATAAGGTCTCTAAACTAATCACAGTAAATCTCTCACTGCTTTTATAAGTATAATTATGATGTTAGCTACTAAAATGGATTTTTAAAATGGACAATAAAAGTTTATCATTTTGGTGGTAAGTTATTTATCTTTATTGATAAGGTGATGACAAAACCCTGGGAAAGTCACTTCATATTAAATGGGACAATTTTTCTTATAAAGAAAAAAGAGCTATTGAGACCAAATGGCTTCCTTATACAGCCATAGTTTAGATTGGCTTTGTAAAAAAAAAAAAAAAAGTAATAAAAAAAGAAATCACCTTTTAAGAATTTGCCTTGGGTCAGTTTATCAGCTAGCCATGAACCCAACACAGCTTATTATGATGATGTAGCCAATTCCAATGCTCAGAAGCTGTATTAACTGAGTTCCTCTGAGTCAAAGGTAGTAAAGTACATTATCTTCTTATACATATTAAATTACTCATCAGGAAAAACAGCTGGGATATTTATAGATAGAACACTGTGGTTAACATCGGAAGAGATCAGTTAATACCAATTCAGTCATCCAAAAACACCTTTACAACTTTGCAGGTAAGAATTTAGGTCAAATAATTTGTTTTGCAAATTGCTGTAACTGTCTGTACATTAGAACATGATTATGTGCAAAAATAACATGTTTATACATTGTTGACTACATAGGTGAAAGACCCTAAACCTTTCTAAGCTAAAGACTTAATTGTACTGTGTAAAAGCAATACATGTGTATTTTAGGAAGGGTAAAACAGAAAAACATAAACAACCAAGTCACCACCAATAATTCCAATGCAACCCTGAGGTAACTGCTGTGAGGGTAACTTCTATTCTGGAATTTGTTTTTCCAAAGAATGTACGTAGTAGAATTATGCTCTGCTTTTTGCTTATTATATCATTAGCATTTCTCCACATTAGTATCTTTGATAGTATTATAGTACTATAGAAACACACATGAAGGAAGAGTCAGAATCAGAAGAGTGGTTCTCAGTCATGGCTATACAACAGAATCATTTGGGGAGCTTTAAAAAAAACCTGGCTCTACCTCCATCCAATTATACTAGAATTTCCTAGGGTGGAGGCAGGGTTTCAGCTCTAATTTAGTCTCTAAGTAACTCTATGGCATAGCCAAAGGTGAGAAGCAGTGGGGAATAAGAAGATACATTAACTTTTCTGGCATCCTACCTACTTTGTACCAACTATGCACATTTCCAGAATTTATTTTTTGCATTTATTTAATTATAGCTAAGGTTAGATATTTTTAAATTTTGTCCAAACTATACCAATTAAGGCCATTCCGAGTATGAATTTCTGTTAAATTACTGATCTTTTTTCTTACTCATTCCTAAGAGCCTCCTCTTTTTTAATTAGGTAAATGAGCTCACTGGCATGTGTTATAAATCTTTCAATTTTTACTTCATAATTTATGCTTTCCTCCCCAAATGTTACAATCTATATGTAACTAAATTTGTTAATCTCTTGTTTTAGGGCCTATAAATATTGGATTTTACTTAAAAGGGCTTTACCAACCCAAGATTTGTTTAATTTTCAGTTTTCCCCCCTTAGTATTTACCAATTCACTTTTAAGACTTTGATATATTTGGAATTTATTTTGGCATAAAGAGTAAGACAGGAACTTGTCTGACAGGAGTTTGTTTTTTTCCTCAATGGCTATCCGGTTATGCTACAGGTACAATTTATCTTTTCATCAAAGACTTAATTTTCTGGTGTTTCTGAAGTCTACTTTCAGAATCATTATTCTGTTCCACTGCAGTTTATCCAAAGGAATACTATGAAGTCATTAAAGTATTTTTTTTTAGACAAAGTCTCAAGCTGTAGCCTTGGGTAGAGTGCTATGGCATCATAGCTCACAGCAACCTCTAACTCTTGGGCTCAAGAGATCCTCTTGCCTCAGTTTTTCTATTTTTTTTTTTTTTAGTAGAGACGGGGGTCTCGCTTTTTGCTCAGGCTGCTCGTGAACTCAAGCAATCAACCTGCCTTGGTCCCCTAGAGTGCTACGATTATAGGCGTGAGCCACTGCACCCAGCAAAGGTATCTTTAAAGAACTAATGGACAAACAATAAATTTGAAAACAACCTCATTATTGAAGATAATTCAAATAATAAGAAAATTCATTTTCCCTAAATTAGCTTGTGTAAGTTTAATATCATCCCCGAAATTTCTCACAAGTACCAAGGTAATTTCAAACACGAATTTTTTTTTTTTTTTTTTTTTTT